TGTAACCAAGTGTTGACTTGGAAAGTTGTAAGCCTATAAGGCATTTACTTTTGTTGCCAACATGTAATAACTTTTATAAGAATACTTTGATGATTGTAATATGAAATCTCTTCTATTTATCGTGAATGTATGTTATGATGGGTTTATTTTTGAGGGTGTTACAAAAATTGAAGGCATTTTTTATTTTTTTATTTTGTGTGTAAACTCTTTATTAATATTAATATTAAGTAAATACAAAATAAGAAGATCGAGTAACTTTTAAAGAGAAGTTGTAATATTTTTTAACAAAAAAATCATATAGAGAGAATATATGAAGAAACTAAAAAAATATAAAAAGTTTGAGATTCAAAGCAAACATTTCTCTCATAACCCATATAGGTAACCTGTGCCTAAAGGCACGGAGGAAATAAAGTTCAACACACCTCTGAAACTCCTATGAAACTTAAAACAGGGCCATGCTATACTTAGGTGAATTGAGGTCAATTCAATTAATAGGTGAGGATTGTTATTGGAATTTGAACTGTTGTGATCTTTGACTTGAATCGATTACATTTCGTGAGGGATATAAGAGATCCGGAGCATCCATATTCATAAATTTTGTGAGTATTATTAGTTTAGATTTTGTGAGTATTATTCTGGAGCATCGATTACATTTTGTGAGTATTATTAATTACAAATTTCTTATATGAATGACTTCATAAATTTGGTGTTTTGCAGCTTTCTTTATGTATAATCTATTGATACGTTCAGTTTAGATTCTATTGATAAAAGCTTACAAATTGATTACAGTTTAGATGCTATCCAATAACATATATGCATGTGAGCATGAATTTAGATGTTATTAACCTAATAAATAGGAATTTCTATATGTTTATATGTGTACACTTAAAAAGCTTACAAATTTATTAGAATCTATTACTTAAGATGTTGGATTTGGAGTTTGAAATTAATTACGAATTTAGCTCTCAAATTAAAAAAAAAAATTAAATTTTTTTGTCCATATCATCATCTGGACCTCTAAAAAGAATAATCAATTATAGAGCCAAAGAACTATTTAATGTTCGTGAGTTTTTGGAGCTAAAATGGAGAAAACAATTTTCTTTTTCTTACTATTTCAAATTGAGCAGAGTCATAGCAACTCACTAACAACACTGCATGGGTATGGACTTCACACCCACTAGCCTATGCTATACTTCTACATGTCTGATGCTTGTTTGGTTCTGTAAATAACTTAAAAATTATTAGCATGACTCTAAAAAAAGGGAGTTGCTATGACTCTGAAAAAACCAAATTAATGGCTGAATATTGGAAGTAAATAACCATAAGCACAGAGCCAACACACTGAAAATGCAGTTAATATCCGACAGCAAGAATTCAAAAAATCTATAGCATGGGCCCAACTAATGGAAAATTTGGTAAAAAACATAGCAAAGCAATAACTGATTTTGGTGATAAAAAATAGAGCCAACTGATTTTGGTGATAAAAAACAAAGTCAACTTGAATGCAATCAACTTGTTTTTCTTCTTCAATTTTACTCAATAGAAAAAAACTAAGCTCTGATGAAGGCAAAGCAATAACAAAAGAAAAAAATAAGAACTAAAGTAATAAACTAACCCAGCTGAGCAGCCGAAGTGATGTCGCAGCCGGAGTGAACAACGGTGAGAGTGGTCAAGGTGATCCATAGTCGAAGTAAGCTCTGATGAAGGCAAAAGCTGAGAGAGGAAAAAAAAATTCAAGAAGAAGAACATATTGAATTAGCAAAAAAAAAAAAAAATTCAAGAAGAAGAACATAATGAGAGAAAGGTAGATAATAATCAATTCTCTTGAACCCAACAATTAAAGTCATGTTTTCAACACTAAATAATAATATTGAATTGGTTCAAAATACTTTTCTAACAGTAGTTAAAGTCATGTTTTCAACACAAAAAGATACTTTTCTTCAATAAACCCAGCAGTTAAAAATACAGCAGTTCAATAAACCTAGCAATTCAATAAACCCATTAAAGTCATGTTTTCATTTAAGTCATGACTTCACACCCACTGAACCCGGCAGTTAAAAATACTTTTCCATACATCACATACATCACAACACAATAAGATAATTTGCACACACAACATACATCACACCAACAATAAATCTGTAGGAGTTTTCCAATGTGGGTAAACCCAAAAACACACCCAGAAGATTGAAACAGAGCAAGGAATTCAACAACGGGGAGACAAACGGTAGATAGAGAGGGAGATAGAGAGGAAAGATAGATACTAACGGGGGAGTCAATGCAGAGTAGGAATTGGGAGACAGACGGCAAACAGAGAGGGAGATAGAGAGGGAAGGTAGATAGAGGGTATGGGAAGACAGATGGTAGACAGAGGGTATGGGGAGACAGAGGGTAGATACACAGGCAAATCATTTGTATCTTAGGGAGAAAGTGTTGGGCGGGAACCACCCATTGATCTAAACCATTGATATACACTTAGATTCATCTGAGCCATCCAAATGAAATGTGTCTCTTATACATTTTATACATTTTCAAAAACACTTCTCCTTTATTATATAGATAATAATAAAATTTATTAAAATAATCTATTCCTCTTAGGGCAGTTACCAATAAGTCGTCATACACAAAATTCAAAATCCATCTACTCCCAAAACAAAATACTTACACTAATTAGTCCTATATATTTTTAATTGTTACTAAAAAATCTTTTTATTTTTATTTTTATTTTATAACTTTAAAAATGTTGCTACATCTCACAACGCCGGACTTCCGTCAAAAGGTCACCGGAGACTCGCCGGAATATTCAACATAACCGAGAAGTCGCTGGAGTGCTCTGAGCATCATTGGAAGTCGCTGGAATGTCTAGAATGTTCGTTGAACGTTAAGAATATTATTAGAGACTTATCGAAATATCCATAATATTTCTGGGGAAAAAAAAAATAAATGGAGAAATTATAGTGAAAAAACATAGTAAAATGTGCTAAATATTGATAAATCAAAAGGGGAAAAAATAAAATAAAAATAACAACAACAAACAACAATGGTAAAAAAGTATATATTATTTTTAAATTTTTGTAGGGTTTAAGCAAATAATCTCCAATATTGATCAAACTGAAAAGTAAGCTTTGAAACAGTAAAATGTTACAGTTTCAAAGCATGATTCTATTAAGCATTTATCTGTATTAATTAAACTGGAAAACATGTTATGAAACTGCAAAATTTTACAGCTCTAAAGAATGTTATGGAACTGTAAAATTTTACAGTTCTAAATAATGTTATGAAACTATTAAGTTTTACAGTTTTAAAATTTACAGTTCTAAATAATGTTATGAAACTATTAAGTTTTACAGTTTTAAAACATGACTCATTTCAGCTCCAAAAAAACTAAAATTGTAAAATTTTATAGTTTTCACCGACTATAATTAAAACTTAAAAATTCAGAACTTGAAAATTTTCTTCATGAAAACAGGAAAATAGAAGTGTGTAGTAGAAAAAAGATAGAAAATTTGAGAAATTAAATGAGAGAAATAAATACAGAGAGAATATTGTATTCTGACAACTATTTTTGATTTAAATATAGTCGAATCTCATGTAGATTTACTCAGATCTGGTATAGATCTTAGACCATCTCTAACGGTGAACCAAACTTTGCATCAGATTTGAAATTTGGTAAAAATGTCACTTTTTAGAGCTCTAATGGTTTCACCAAATTGGTATCAAAATGAGAATATAACAAAAAATTCATCAAAGTGAGAACAGGCTCTAGATTTTACAATTTCACTGTGCGTTACCGTTAAGGTGAGCCAACCGGTCAACCAACCGGTTGTCCGACTGGTCGACCGGTTATCTGTCAAATAGGTAGGTTCAAACCGGTCAAAAAGGTTGAAATAGGGGAAAAATAAATAAATAAATAAAAAATTTGCCTTACCGGTCGACCGGCCGGTCAACCACTTCCCTTTTGATGCACGGTTGGAGCAAATGGTATCAGATTGAGAAAATTGGCTTTTTTTTACTCAAATTTGGTGAAAATTTTGGTTCACCGTTGGAGATGCTCTTAGTAGATCTACTTTTGTTTGGACTTTTTTTAGCCAACTTATAGTTTCTAGCTTTGAAAAAGTCATTTCGGACTGTTTAGTTAAACTTATTTCAAACAATTTTTTATTCTAACAACTTATTTTAACTCAAAAAGTTGATTATGAGAAGCTGCTCACTCTTTGTTTCTGATTATCAGTTTTTGCTGTAGACATATTAATTTACGGTTATACTCTTATATTTTTTTTAAAATTCATTTTTTAAATAGAAAAATACCCAAATGAACTATAAATTATTGTTATTATTTTTTATGATAAATGTAGACAAGTAGTGAATAACAAAAAAATAAAAGTTAATAGAAAAATTTACTTCACAGTTTATTTAACAAACACTATTCAGCAACTTAAATCTATAATCCAACAGTTACACTAAACAGATTAATAACTACTGATTAAAGTCATAATCTATAATCTATAATCCGTTTTAACAGTTACACCACACGAGGCCTTTGTCAGAAACTCGCCGTTTTCGCTGTCGGTGAGGGTGAAGTAAGAAGTCGATAGTTAGTGGTTACTAGTGAACCCCAAGTAATGATCGTCATCGATCACCGGTGACTATATATTAAAAAAAAAAGAAAGTAAAGTATGATCGCCGATAACCAAAAATTATAAAGAGATAGAGAAAAATAAAAACACAAAATCAAATAAAAAAAATTACATAATAAATTTTCGAGAGTATTAAAAAAATTATGAGGGTAAGGCTAGATTTGACGTTTCTTAAAAAAGTTAAAAAATAAAAAAATTACTATATTATTTAAGTCACGTCACCTTTCTACCATATCACTTCAAATTCAACTCATATTTTATAAAAAGTAAAAAAATACACTTATTTAAAACCAACCAAACAAACCCTAACGAATCTTATCTTCTTTTTAAACAGTACTTCAAGTAATTTACCTATGTAATTAATCGTTAAGCACCGTGGGCCTGTGTCGGAGTAACTGGGTGTACTGTTGTTGACTGAGAGAGGGCTCTCAAACCTCATCCCGCCAAACTCTTGCGAGGTTTAAGCTTCCCAAAATCCTAGACCTTTCTCTCTCTATCTCTCTCATCATCATCACCTGCAATTCCATTTCTCTCTCTGTCTCTGTCTCTGTAAGTATGAGTTTCGCAGCCTACAAGATGATGCACTCGCCCACGGGCATCGAGAACTGCGCCTCCGGATTCATCACTCATTGTAGCGCCGACTTTGGCCCCCAAATTCCTCCCATTCAGACCGACGATCTCGACTCCGACTGGCCCGAGTCCAAGCCCGTTGGCCCAATTCCCAACCTCGTCGTCACCGCCGCTAACGTTTTGGAGGTTTACGTAGTTAGGGTTCAGGAAGAAGGCAGCAGCAGAGACTCCAGAGCTCCCTCGGAACCCAAGCGTGGCGGCGTTTTGGCCGGTGCATCGGGGGCTTCGCTCGAACTCGTTTGCCATTACAGGTGTTGATTTTTTACTGAATTGCAACATGTTTTAGAGATGGCCACTTATTTGTCTTGAAATTCCTGGGTTTTAGATGAAAATTTTCCTCCAATTTTGTCTCTCTGAAATGTTACAAACAACTCTACGCACAAAACTTACCCAAAAAAAAAAAAAAGGGTTTTTTTTTTTTTTAACCCCAACTTGAAATTGGGGGTTGCAGGTTGCATGGTAATGTTGAAACAATGGCAATATTATCCTTAGCGGGTGCTGACGGTGGTAGAAGAAGAGATTCGATTGTCTTAGCGTTTCAAGATGCTAAAATTTCGGTTCTAGAGTTTGATGACTCGATTCATGGACTTCGTACAAGGTGAGTTGGATGTATTGAAAGGTTTTGGTGAGTCTATTTTGGTCATAGTATTTATTTGTTAATTTTTTTGAGACTGATTAGTCAATTGTGTACTTGTCTACTTATTCTGATCAGCCATTTGCTTTTTGTAATGTAATCTTGATGAAGCTATATAATGTTTGAATGTTTGGGGCCATTTGAATGTAGTGATTCTCTGGATATTCCTGCCAATTTCACAAGCTGAAGGCTACTATAATAATTGATGTTTTGTATAGACTTTACATCACTGGTATTGTTGGTTTCGAAATGCTTCTCACAAGTTAATTACTTACTTTATTGAATAGGAAACTTGTTTTATTGTCTTTGATGCCTTACTCGGATAGATTACTTATTTACGGGGAAATCTTTCCATGTCAATTCCTTGAGCGTACACATTCTAGTGATCCAATTTGTCCCTTGTGTATCATATCTATTCTTCTGGTTTGATTCTTTGCTCCTCCTGATACTCCCAAGTCTTTCCCTGGTCCTTTGTTGGCATTCCCCATGTGGTTTTCTTACTGGTATCTGGTTCTTGGTTGGTTCTTTTGCTGCTTCCACTTCCATTGAAACTACTCACTATGTTCCCCCCTTCACGCTCCTTGGCATTTATCCAACAAGAGACATTGATTAGAGGTTCTAGCTCGCGATAGAATTGCTTATCATCCTCCCCAGTTTCCATACCATATCCCATAAACCATATCTGCTTTCAAGATCTCATCTTGGATCCTTAATTTTTTAAACAGAAGACATGAGGAAACTTCATAAGTTTGGTCCGAAATTGCTTAGTGGCTTTTCTTATTAGCCTCAGTACCAAGCTTGCACATATTTGGTTTGACCATCGAAGGCTCACTATCTAACCTAACCATCCCAAAGTCCATTTCATTATAGAGGTGAAAACTGAAAGCAAGTTGAAGAGAAGGGAGAAGGGTCAATCTTGATATGATAGCCCTTCGCCTACAAAGACCACTGTGATGGAGAAGGGCATTGGAAACTTGTTTTGTTTTTGGAATGTAGAAAATTTCTATCTACTAATTTTTCTCTTTACTTCTTTATTTCTTCTGTTTTTTGTTTTAATTCATTTAGTTTTTATGGTTGACCCCACGTGATTAGGACACATGATTTAGTTTGGTTTGGTTTAATTATTTAGTTCAAATACTGCCAAATGAGTATAATCAAAATCTTCTCAAGTTCAGCTCTGTTTTCAAATTAGAAACAAATATTGAATGAAAGTAAGAAAAATGAATACATAAAGAGTTAAATCATATAGAAAATTGTTATAGATGAAAAGACAGTCCTCTATTTTATTAGCTGCTTATTTAGTTGAACGGCTTGCCCTTAATTAGCTAATTTATGAACAAAGATGATGCAGCCCACATGAGGTTCAAGGAAAAGCAAAATCAAAGAGAACTAGAGAAGACAAACTTTGAAAATTGGTATCATCTCATATTGGGGCCTTTGGAAATATGCCTGGTCAAGTTTTGAGCTTGCCAATGGTATTTTTTTAATGCTAATTTTGGTTAGGCTTTAATTTAGTCATTAACCTATACGTGTTCTTGTATTTAATAGGTCAGAGTATTTTAGACATTTGCAATTTTTTTGGAATTGGCTATAGCCTATAGGGTTGCCCATGAGTTGTCATGTTGGTCAAGTTGTAATTGGATTTCCATTCATGGTTTATATTTGGTTTTAGGTGTACTTTGGAAGTCACATTTTTTAGTTTCTAAATAGGTAGTCAAAATCTTTACTAGGATAAGTAAGAGCCATATGACGACTCTTATTGAATAGAGTTGAGTTCGAAAATAATTATTGAAGTTTTTAAAGTTCTATTGAGATTTTGTAAATCTATTCTAACCCTAGGTGATGCCTATGAAATTTAGGTATGATGCTTAGATTTTTTCCCATTTTCATCTCTTCTTCTATATTTTTCTTCACTTTTAGCATATAAAATAACAAAACCATATCTGATTAACTTTCCTTTTGTCCCTAACCTTCCATTGATAAAGTCTAATCAACCCCTCATCCCGTAATAGAACAAAAGTGCATAAAATTAATAAATAAATAAAAGAAAGGAAATAGAAAATGCGAAATTACTTATCCTGGGTAATGTTCACACTTCATGCCCTTTAAACGGCATCAAAACTATTTTTTCATTCTAGAAGCCTTACTCCTTTCTTACCCCATATAAACCTTACAACATTGCATGTTTTATCACCCTCTTTGGCACAGATACCATCAACTAGTGTCATCTGTTGCAGCCTTACGCTAATTTTGGGTTCTTTACTAGTTGGAGAGTGTTGCTGGCACTTGTCCTACATCAGAAGAGATGGAAGGAAACTGGTCATTTGAGATGTCCACATTTTGTGTAGTGAGTAGTTTATTTTGTTTGGTGACTTAGAGATATACTTTCATCTTGCTTAATAATAGACATATACCCAGCTAGTCCACAAGAGTCTTGTCTTATGCAAGTAGATCACCAGCTGATAAATTTGAGTGTTTTCCACTTTAACAACTCATAAATAGTGTCGCAGTCTTTCTATTCTTCTTTAAAGTTGACGAAGGCTTATTTTACAAACGTGAGGGGTTTTAAGTTGCATAAATGTGGAAAGCTAGCAATCGCTTGGAAGGAATTTTACTAACCCAAAAATGAAAGTGGTTTTGGAATGCATTGGATAGAGGACTGGATAAAGCCTCTGTGATGTAACATACTTGGAGATATGCTCCAAATAGCCATTTGGGTGGGGAAAATGGTGTAGAAGTACTGAAAGTAAAAGCTTTTGGTGTTTTAATATTAACTTATGATTTCTATTGGAAACAGTCTAATGTCTTGAAATTAAGAGATGCCTGCTGCGGTTTTTTAAATACCAAATTGGGGATGAAAGGGAACTTTATTAGTAGGAATAATTGGCACTATAATTGCCCTATCATTGGAAGATAAGTCTGTAAAGTTGTTCATGCATCTGGCTTCCTTGCTACAGAAAAAGTGGCTGGCTTGTTAGAAGATGATGGCTAGCAGTAGCCCATTACTGTTTTGAGGGAAGTATTGGAATTAAGTAGTGTTCCATTATATATGAAACCAAATACTTATGCAGTGTATATGGTGCAATGGACTTTCAATGACATGGGTGTCTTTGCCAGGAAATCAGTTTTCCATTAGATCATATCCCCGGGGAATCACTCACCTGGTATGAGATGATCTGGCACTTGGTTTATACTTATTCTTTTATTGCTTGGCTGGCAGTGATGAACAAATTGCTTTCTAGAGATGAACTTCATTGGGAGGGAGTTGTTGCTAATATGAGTGTAACACCTTAGATGGATAAATTTATCATTTTTTTATTTATTTTTTGTTTTTTGTTTTTTGTGTTTTTGGAAATACTGGCTGTAGTTAAAATTTTGCTGCTCACTTTATAAAATTCAATTGAGATCTTGCTTGATAACTCAATGAAGTGCTTAAGAATTGAATGCATTGATTTGTTTTGTAATTAACGCTTTGTTTGTTTTGGTGAAAATATTTTGTGGAAACATTTTTTTTTGAAAAAATGACTTGTTTTCCTGTGTTTGGTTGAACCCTGAAAGTGAGCTGGAAACTATTTTTTGCTGTTTAGATAACACGAAAAATCAATATAAAATATTACCAAATAATTGTACGAACAAAACTTTTATTTAGAACACGAATATTGTTATTATGTAAGTGACTAGAAATTCATTCTAAAAATTATTATTATTTTTCTGAAGACACATTTTCTAGTGGTAGTGATTGTGGCTGTGAAGCGAAGTCCCACATCGCCTGAATAGTAAAGTAATATTAAGCATATAAGTGTGAGGGCACCCTCACCTTAATAGCTAGCTTTTGGGGTTGAGTTCTACCAAATACCATGTAACATGGTATTAGATAGAGCTAGAGTACTCAGGGATGGGTAGGGTGCATGTCCCTGGCCTGCATGCCGCAGGTGTTGTCGAGTGAGCACGCTGGGCATGAGAGAGGGTGTGAAGCGAACTCTCACTCGCCCGTCCAAGTACTAAACTAATGTTAAGCATATAAGCAAGACGGTACCCTCATCTCAATAGCTAGCTTTTTGGTTTGAGTTTTACCCAAACCGTGTAATAGTGGTGACAACGATGATGGTGGTGGGGTGGTAGTTAGTAGTAGGGGCAATGGCATTGGTGGTGGTGTGGTACTTGTTAGGTCTGAAAAATATTTTCTGCCATGGAAAATGAAAAATTTCCCCCACCAAATCAACTCATTTTCCTTTGATCATGGAAAACATTTTTGTCCACTTCCATTTTTTGTCATACCAAACACTAGAAAATACAAAAAAATATTTTATAGAAAATGTTTATTGCCAAAGCAAACAGAGCAGAATTGCATTTTATAATTCCTAATCACTTAGCATGTAAATATGAAAATTGAAAAATGGTCATCGATTTAAGTAAAAGGGATTTAATTTTATACTAAATGCTCACAATGAAAGGTAGTTTACATTTTCATTCTCAATTAATTTAATATATTTGTCTTAAAATTTTCAATTTTAAAAATGAGTGCTTAAATATTTGAGCACTACAAATGTAGTACTAACATTTTCACTACTTAACTTGAGTGTTTTCAACCAACCTCTAACTCTGCAGCTGAAATTAAACGTGTACAACTTCTAAGGTACCTATGACTTTTATAAGGAAAGTGGCTTAGTATGTTATCTACTATATTTTGCAAGAGCACAATAATCTTATCTTCAATATCTCATTGGGATGGTATCATGGTTATCAAAATCACGATCTCCTAAATTGCCAAAACCATCCATATTGTTGTAGAATTGGTGTCATAGCAGGATCACAAATAGGATTGTGTGGGATTGTGATTTTTCACCTTATTTTTAATATGCATCATTTTTATTTGTATTTTTACCTTAATTTTAATAGAGAGTAGAATCTTATGATCCTTGATTTGATCTTGTGATCCAATTGAGATTTAGCACGATTGAGATTTTAATAGAAAGTGTTCAGTTTCACTTTAGCATGATGGAGATTTAATTTTACTGTCCCAAAGGGGCTTCTACTGTTGTATATGGGAGCCCAAAGGAAAGCATAATAAAGAACTCTCAACTCAACAAAGCCTTTTTCCCAACTACTTAACTACATGATTTGTTTTTGCCATTATGCTCGATCAAGGCCCATAATCTTAGTTAAAGTTAAACCACAACCTAACATGTCTTTCTTGATTATCTCACACCCTCAAGATGTATAGTGTCACTCTTCTTAGCTGGGCTACTTAATCACTTTTCCCTCATTTTATTTTCAATAGTTGCTATCTCTACCATCTCATGAATTCATTCATTTCTAACCCACTCACTCTTAATCTCCTAGTTTTGCCACATATCTACCTAAACATCCTCATCTTGGTTGCATTCATTTTGCTAAGATTTCTTTTTGTTGTCCGAAATTCATCTTCATTGGGTTTGGCAAAGTTTTACTTTGGCTGTCAGCTACCTGACATGCAACCCTCCTCCTTTATCTGGCTTTGGATTGGCTGTGTAAGGATAAAACACTAACCATGGATGGGGTTCATGATCATGAACTCTGTTTGGTAATTCTGCCTAAATTGCGAATTGAATCATGACTCGTATAAGTCGTAGAAGCATACCCTTGACTGGTATGAATGCAATAATGCATGACCAGATCTGGATGAACCTTGTGTCAGAACAGTATGGACCTCACACAATTCTACATAAAGTAAGAATGGCAGAGAAAACCGACCATTGGGGTTCAAACCCAACTTGGTTGTAACTGTTGACAGAACTTGTGGTATTACTGAAAGAAAAGGAGAAGTTTAAGTAGAATAGTCAATTGTTAATTGTCATTTAGGATGTGAAAGTAACTGTCAGTTAATTTTCTTCTGCTTTGCTACTAGCTGACTAATTGTTCTAAGGAGTAATAATAAGATAGAAAGGAGAAGAGAGATCTGGGTAGAACAGTCATCCTTTAGTCTCCATTAATTATTGTACATATGTCTAGAAAGTCCTGCAGGCTAGAGTACAACATAAACAATATGGTATTAAGGCAACACAAATATATGTTTCCATATACACGTGGTTTACCGTTGTAATTTTCATTGGGAAGTGGCTGCTTAAACCAGGGCCAGATTAAATCAAATGTAGGATAATTAATTTCAGAAAAAATGCTCATGATTTGACATATTTACTATTGAAGCGCTTTTTACTTTTGAGGTTCTGTTTTTTTATGAATAACTGCCTCCTGTTTCTGTTAGAATTGGTTCAAACTGGTTATAAATGTCTTTTCTTTACTAGTCACCAGCTGTTGATGTGTTTCTGATTCTTAAATAGGTTGCTTTACAATTACGATGGAACTTTTTTGCTTTCGAGCCATTTCTTATGACATTTTTTTGGTATGCTAATAGATAATACCTTTGGACATGTGTTTATGTGTCTGTTCAGCTCTATGCATTGTTTTGAGGGTCCGGATTGGCTTCATCTGAAAAGAGGAAGAGAATCTTTTGCAAGTGGCCCATTGGTGAAGGTTGACCCCCAGGGCAGGTGTGCTGGGGTTCTCATTTATGGCCTACAAATGATAATACTCAAGGCGGCTGAGGTTTCCTTTTCCTTCTATACTGCCCTGTTGTTGTAGCTTGCTTCTTTTTCATATCATGTTTGATTTTTCTCAATTCAGTTCTGTTTGTTTCCATATTCAGGCTGCATGACCAGAACTCTGTTTCTGAAGGCATATCTCATAAGTTGTAATATATGAATATGGCACACTCTTATCCATTTTCCTCCCTCTTTTCTTTCTAAATTTCCCTGACAATACACAACCACTTGGTTGTGTTTACTCACAGAGTTTCAGGCACCTGTTTACTTCTGAATCCTAAATGTTCAAAAAATGTTAATTCGTGCCATGACTGTCCGATTTGGATTATTAAGCATCTAACCGTATGAGGAAGTGGTCATAAACTTTCTCAGTTCTGTGTCATTTGTGCGTGTGTGTGTGTAACTACAGCAGTAGCAAGTACATGGAGATTGGTGACGTTCCTGCAAATGTATTGTCTCCTCTGAACTGTCCCCCTCCTAGGACCAAAATACAGTCTGAAATGTGCTCAAAGTCATGCAACTTTCATGTACACTTCACAATTGTTGGGTTGAAAGGAAAAGCTATTTGTATCATACTGACCGTTCCTAGTTATTTATCTATTTAGGCTTAGGTGTGTTGAGCATGAGCCCACTTGGACTGTGCCTGGAAATACTAAGAAGTAACTTTGTTAGCTTTACATGAAAGCAAGTCATCATTGGGGGAAAAAAGGCACTTGTTGTGATTAATTTTATTTTTCTATTATATTTTATTCCTTTGGGTGTGTTTTAATTTCAATACCGTAATTTTGAATGATAGGCCGGTTCTGGTTTGGTTGGTGAAGAGAATGCTTTTAGTGCTGGAGGTGCAGTCTCTGCTCGTATTGAGTCATCATATATAATCAATTTACGAGATCTGGACATGAAGCATGTAAAGGATTTCATATTTGTACATGGTGAGACAAAGCAACTATTCTCAATTGATTTTAATTAAAATGTAGTATGGATGTTTGTAGCTACCTAAGTTCTTGCTTTCGCTTTTCAAGTGAGTCCAAAATCTGTTTGACCATTAAAGCCAGCTCATACTACTTTTGGCTGCGTGAGTTATGGGAAATAATTGATAATACATATATATTGAAATTTCACCAATTACAACATGGAAACACTCAGCAAATTGACAGTTCTATTATAATATTATGTGCTAACTTTATTCAATTAGTTCATGAACTTTGATGTTTTTTGGTTTTAACTTGGACATTCTATTTCTAAACATTCTTTATTTTTAGCATTGTTTGAATTTGGTTTAATTAGGATAAATAGGAAGATTTCTCTCTCTCCCTTCCATTTTCGTAAAGGGATGGGTATGATTTTCGCATGTCTTCTGTTGCTTTTGATCCACTTTATTTGATATAATTCATTTTATAGGTTACATTGAGCCTGTGATGGTAATTCTTCAAGAACAAGAGCTTACATGGGCTGGGCGTGTCTCGTGGAAACATCATACCTGTATGATTTCTGCACTTAGTATTAGCACAACTCTGAAGCAGCATCCTCTCATATGGTCAGCTACTGTAAGTTCAAATCTTGATAAAAACCTGTCTGTTAATCAGTGAACAATTCATACAGAAGTTCTTATTTTGTCAACAGTGAAGCAGCAGCAAAAAAAAAAATAAAAAATAAAAAAAATCAGTTGCGTAATATCTACTAAAGCCTGGGGCCAACGTTGCTTTCTCATATTCAAGGTTCAACACAATTGACTATTGATTTTTTGCACTAATGTAGGATTGTCAATGTCAATTACTCTTTCTTAAAAAAAAAAGATTGCCAAAAATCAAAATATCAAAAAATGTTTTTGTTTTTCTCATCAAAACAACCTTTCTTCGTCCAACTCATGCCTCAACAATCGGTACAAGTGGCTTCTAAGTCTACCTTGTTTTTTTTCTTTCTAGCTATACTAGGACGCATTCCCTTTTTTTAGGATAAGTAAAGTATTATTAATTAATGAAAACGTCAAAAAGGGGCGAACTTGGTGCAGACAAGAACTCAATCTATGAGGTATACATCAACAGATATGTACAAGTCACCTATAGACTGAAAAAAATATAATACCGAATGGACATTCCTCTTTCATCTAAAAAGAAAAAAAGAGAACAATGAGTACGGATCCTTTCAAACCATGTATGGGTAACTTTGATACCCTTAAATGTCCTTCTGTTACTTGCTCTCCGGGTCTGTTTGGTGTAACTTTTTTCAAGCTGAAAGTTGATAATCAGAAATCAGAAATTAAAAGCATCCTCCCCCAACTTTTAGATAATGAACTCTATTTTTATTTTTTAATTTTTTTTTAAAGCTATTTCTACCTATAAGCTATAAGCATAAACTGCACCAAACATTCTGACATAGACTGCCAAAATAAAAAAGCTATAAGCAGCTCCAATAAGCTGCACTACCCAGGCCCTCCATAGAGTCCACAAAAGAGCCAAAGTAGTATGCCACACCTTTCTTTCTCTTTGGGCAACCAAGACTCCAAATCTCCATCGAAGAAGGCATCGTTCAAGCAAATTGAAAAATTGGGAAAACTAAACTCTATGACTCACCAACAACTAGGCATTGAAAAAAGAAGAAGAAGATGATCAACACTTTCCCTAATCCCCTTACACATGCGTCTCCAATCAATCATCAACTTACAACTCTTCCTGAGACTATCAATAGTCAAGATATTCTCATGTGCAGCAGTCCACACAAAAAATACTACTATAGGAGGGACCTTGCATCTCCAAATACCTCTACATGGAGGGAATGGACAACCTTCATCGAATCATCACTCAAATCCTGATAGAAAGAACAGATTGAGAAGACCTCGATCTTCGGGAATATGCCAAATCACAGGTTCCCGATCATTCTCATGAACCTGAGTCATATAAACAACTAAACAATGCTCCAGGGATTGAACCTCCCAATCTTCTAGAGCACTTTTGAACCTTGAATTCCATACCACTCCACCGCCAAATAATCTTGCATGGAGGCATTCTTATCCAAAGCCAAGGTGAACAGGTCAGGGAGCACCTCTTCAACGGTTTGTGGCCACATCATTTTTCAAGCTAAAATTTTGGAATTTTATCCAAACCCTCATAATGCCTTTCACAACCCCATCCTCTATGGTCCAACAATTCTGCCAGCGGACCAATTATCCCTCGCTTTTTCAAATTTCCTCTCCACCACCCTTCTCCATATCTTTTATCTTTTAGAGCAAACCTCTACAACCAGTTCCGCAACACTAGATTTCGGATCCCCAAACCAGCCTAATGTATTGAAAGGCACACTCTCTCTCAATCCATCAAATGGTACTTAGATTCCACATCTTGCTCTCCCATAACTAATCATAACTAAATCTCTTGGCAACTTCTCCAACTTCTTAGTTTCCGAATAAGGAATAAATATGATCTACGGGTATGGATTCTTAGAACATAAATGTATTTAGTTGCTGAATTATGTAAATGATTTGGTTGATATATTTCAAGTTTGCCACCTTGAATTGGATTTGGATACATATTACAAGTTTACCTGTAATGTAAGACAGAAATCCATAATCTACCAATTAAACTATTTTTTCTCGTATTTTTTATGATTAATATTTGGATGGTTAATAAATATGATCGCTCTTGATTTACAATTGTGCATCACCATTTTTCTTAATGGTTGCAAAAATTATGGATTGTTGGCAAACGATAGCTTTTCAACATGAGGAGGAGTGTCATTTTTGCAACAAGGTCCTGTCTACGCTGAGTCTGAAAAAGAAAAAGAGGGAGAAGAACAGAATAGATTATCCTAGAATTTGGCGCATGGTTGTTAAATTTGCTGAGGGTTTTAAGCTTTACTCAGTGCTGAATTCATGGACAAAACTTTTTATGCTGAAAATTGTGTTCTTCATGGTCATTTTCATCTTGAATACATAAAACTCTAAATTTTGTTGGTTGTATGGAGAATGCATTACAAGAGGGACGTGCGTAAGTTAGTCTAGATTTCAATTCTTTTGAAATTGCGAAAGGCTTTTTCCATCCAGATGGGATTCATCTTTCTTCTTCTTGTCAGAATCTCCCACATGATGCTTACAAGCTTCTTGCCGTGCCATCCCCAATTGGTGGAGTTCTTGTCATTGGTGCAAATACTATTCATTATCATAGTCAGGTAAACCTTCTTATTGCATAGGCAGTTCAATTGGCATGTTATCTTTTGAGTGTTTAAACTCTTTTATTCTTTTGCTGAGTTAGTGATCTTTGCTTGGGCAGTCTGCATCATGCATGTTGGCTTTGAACAACTATGCTGTTCCCATTGATAGCAGGTCAGTTCTCAGTGTACATTTGTTCATTCTGCAACTGCTTTGCAACTAAACCATTACAACTCATCCTCCGAGCAACTTGTGCTTTTATTCGGGATTGAAAATTCTTGAAGGATGCAAATAATACTCTAGAAGTGCTTTCCTTTTGCTAATTTATCTCTGTTGCTCTGGGTTTCCTTTTGTACAAGTTGGTTAAAGTATATACTAGGTTTTCTTATGTTGCATTATTTGTAGTAGCTTAAATATATGAATTTCATTCTGTTTTATCTTTTTTGTGACATGTCTATTATCCACTAATACTTTAGGCAGATAAAACTTCGATGATGAAAGTGATTGTGAATAATATAGTAATTAAAGAGGTTTTGAAAATTCATCAACCATATATAGTGATGTTTCAAGAGACAGTGTGAGGAATGTGATAGGGTTTTCATTAGGAGTGTTTGGGGGACCCGGTTTAGGAGATGGGCTGTTTTACCTTCTAGTGGGAGATTAGGGGGAATTTTGATTATGTGGGACGAGAGTTGTATCAGAGTGTGAGATAATTGTTGGGGTGTTTTCAATGTCCATTAGGTTTAGGAATCGGGATAACAAGGAATGGTGGCTGATTGGGGTTTATGGTCCCAATAGGCCTAGTAGTCGTCAGGAATGGTGGGAGGAGTTGGCTGGCTTATTTGGGTTTTGTTCCCCTAATTGGTGTGTGGGTGGGGATTTTCAATGTGGTTCGGCTTATTTCGGAAAAACTCAATGGGGTTTCCATAAATAGGAGTATGTAGGATTTTGACTCTTTTATAAGAGTGTGAGTTGATTGACCCTACCCTCCCTTGAGTAGTGCTCGGTTCACATGGTCTAATCTTCAGGAAAATCTTTTGTGTTATAGGTTGGATAGGATTCTTCATACTCTAGGATGGGAGGAGTTGTTTCCTGATTTAAGGCAAGAGGCAGGGCCAAGAGTTGTGTCAGACCGTTGTCCGGTGATTCTTTAGAGCTGTCCTTTTAAATGGGGTCCTACCTCCTTCAGATTTGAGAATATGTGGTTGGAAAATCAATATTTTAAGGCAAATTTTAAGGATTGGTGGGAAAACGGTAGAGTCCATAGGTGGGAGGGTTTCAAGTTTATGTGGAAGTTGAGAGGAGTCAAGAATAATTTAAAGGTTTGGAAGCGTAAGTTTTTGGTGATCTAAATGAGGTGAAAGCGGAGTTAGTTCATGATATTGAAGAATTGGATGCGAAGGAGCTTGGGGAGGGTTTATCTAGGACTTTAAGGGATAAGAGATCATTGCTCAGGATGAAATTGGAAGAGCTTGTTTCTAGGGAACAAATTTTTTGGGGACAAAGAGCTAAGTTGAAATGGGCTAAAGAGGGTGATATCAATTCTAGATTTTTTCTTGGGGTTTCGTCGGGAAAGAGGAAGAAGAGTTTTATTAAAAATTTGGAGGTTGGGTAGGGTGTGATGGTGAGTAAGGAGGAGCTTATTGTTAAGGAGATTTTCAATTTTTATTCAAATTTCTATTCTGATAGTGGAATGGATCGTCCAGGGATTGAAGGCATTAATTGGGCTCCTGTGGAGTTAGTGATGGTTGGCTTGAGAGACCCTTTGATGAATGTGAGGTGAGACAGGCCGTGTTTGAGTGTGAGAGATATAAGGCTCGAGGTCCAGATGGTTTTTCAATGGCTATATTTCAAGATTGGTGGGACATTGTGAAAGGGGATCTTATGAGAGTGTTTGATGAGTTCTTCGAAAGTGAAGAGGTTAACTTATGCACCAATGCATCCTTCATTTGTGTAATTCTCAAGAAGGAGAAGTCGATCAAGATTGGGGGTTTTAAACCCATTAGCTTGGTTACATCACTCTACAAAATTCTAGCAAAGGTGCTTTCTAAGAGAATTAGGGTTGTCCTTGGGGAAACAATTTCTTCCGCATAAGGTGTCTTTGTGCAGGGACGACAGATATTGGATGTAGTCTTAGTGGTGAATGAGGTTGTTGAGGAGTATAGGGGGTTACATAAGGAGGGTGTTGTCTTTAAGGTTGACTTTGAGAAGGCGTATGACCATGTTGATTGGGGCTTTGTTGATTTTGTTTTGGAAAGGAAGGGGTTTGGATCTAGGTGGAGAATGTGTATTTAGGGGTACTTGTCGTCATGCAATATGTTGGTCATTGTGAATGGTAAGGCTGGGCACTCTTTTTGGGCATCTAGGGGTCTAAGGCAGGGAGATCGTATATCACTATTTTTGTTTATTTTAGTTGTTGATGTGTTGGGTTGGATTATTGATATAGCCAAGGATAAGGTGTTATTGAGGGGATTTTTTTTTTTTTTTTTTTTGGGGGTTTGGGGGGGGAGGGGGAAGAGGATAGGATTGGAGTTACTCATCTACAGTTTGCAGATGATACTATATTTTTTTTCATCAAAAGAATAAAATAAGGTGCGTAGTTTGCAAAAATTTTTGAGAATTTTTGAAATTGTGTCGGGCCTCAAGGTCAATCTTAGCAAGAGTAGTGTTGTGGGTATTAATCTGGGAGATAGCTATGTGCAAAGGGTGGCGGATATGTTGGTATGTTCCATTGAATTCTTTCCTCTCAAATACTTGGGGCTTCCATTGGGGGGAGATCCTAGATTGGCATCCTTTTGGGAGCCTGTTCTTGTCAAAATTGGGAAAAGATTAGAGGGATGGAAGCGAGCTTTGTTCTCTAAGGGGGGAGATATACTTCGGTACAATCTGTATTAGGTTCTGTTCCTATTTATTTCTTTTCCATATTCAAGATTCCGGTTGGCATTGCGAGGAAAATTGAGAGATTGATGAGAAATTTTCTTTAGGAAGGGTGTGAAGAAGGTAAAAGGGTTCATTTGGTTAAGTGAGAGGTTGTTTCTCTCCCTAGGGATAGAAGGGGCCTGGCTATAGGGAATATCATTGCTAGGAATATTGCTCTTTTGGCATGTGGTTATGAAGATTTCCTGTTGAACGTGAATCGCTATGGTGTTCAGTTATTAACAGCAAGTATGGAGTTCAACCCAATGGTAGAGATTCTAATGTGGTTAATAGAGGCAATTGTCGTTCACCGTGGAAGTCCATTTCTTGATTGTATCCACTTGTGTTTAATTTCCTTTAATTGAGAGTGGGAAATGGTGTGTGCATTCGTTTTTGGGAGGATGTGTGGTTAGGAAATATCTTGTTTGATAGGGCTTTTCCTCTTTTTTATCGGTTGGTTTGTTCTAGGAATGTTTCGATAGTGTCGGTGGCATGCTCTTCTATGGCACCCGTCTTTTGGAATTTTGATTTCCTTAGAAACTTAAATGATAGGGAGGCTGTTGACTTGGCATCTTTGTTCATATTGCTTCATGGGGTATCTCTTTCTTCCTCTCGTGACATTAGGTGCTGGAATCTTAGTTCTTCAGGGGTCTTTTCCTCTAAATCCTTTTTTGATAAGCTTATTGATAATCCTTCTGTTCCTTTATTTCCTATTCATAAGAAAATTTGAAAAATGGTTGTCCCTTGTAAAGTGAAGTTCTTCATGTGGTCTTTATCTCAAAGGGGTGTCACAGCTAATGGTGTTTTCCAAAGAAGAAGGCCTAATCACTCTCTTTGCTCTCAATAGTGTGTGATGTGAAAGAGGAATTCGGAGGTAGCAGATTATTTATGCCTTTATTGCCCAGTGGCTTTTGTATTATGGCAGTGTCTTTTCGGCTTATGTGATGATTAGTGGGTTGCTTTGTGGGACTGCATTCAAATGTTTCTTTGTTAGGTTCAAAGGGTTTGGGAGCACCAAAAGAGCCAAAACACTGTGGTCAAGCATTGTTTTTGTTATTTTTTGGACTATATGGTTGGAGAGAAATGCAAGAGTCTTTGATGGCAATGAATCAATGTTAGAATATATTTTGGGTGATTGGGTATTGATTGGTTTATTAGCTATTATTTCCTTATTATATTATTTCCATATTTGTGCCTCCAAGGCTTCCATTGTAAGCTACTATTATCTATATAAAAGGGGATGATTGTCTGATCATTCCCTAAGTTTTGTTCTCTCTTAACAAACATGGTATCAGAGCTTTAGGGCTACCATCTCATATTCCACACACACCCATCCTTAGCCGACCATTACTTATCCCATTTCGGCACTCCTTTCACCTCTCTAAGGCTGCCAACAATCACTCCTCATTATTGACAGCAGCCAGAGGTCACCCAATGCCAGCCGACAGCCTCTTTCTGCTTGTTCGGCACTTTCGACAGCCTCTCTGTACCTTTTGCCTCTCGCTGATGACTATTTGAGGGTCACATATCATCAATAATTTTGTGGACTCCTTCGTGACACTTCTTTGACCTGATTCCTTTTTCTCTTGGGTCGACATCTTCACTTGGTCGACTGTATGAATTGATTGGCCCCACTACACTTTGGTTCTCCACTTCAAGCAAGTTTTTCTCTTCTCTGAAATTAGTTTAGTCACTGTTTTGATTGGAGGTTTCTTTTTCATAGTTTTGTTTGTTCTTTAGGGTCCTTATATGACCCTATTACCCAGCTTTGACTGATTGGTCCTATCATGGTCTGTGATTGATGTTGTTTGGTCTCGTTGTTTTTAAGTCTCTCTTCCAATTATAGTGATTAGTGCAGGTTGTTATTTAGTTTATAGAATGTAAATGGCTAATCTTACTAGTGAATCCACCATTACTTCTCAACCACGTGTAGGGGAAAGTCCCATTATGACTACTACATCTGCAAACCTAAACCTTAGTCTTAAAATCACCACCTCTTTATTTAATGGTCAGAACTATCTTGCTTGGTTACAGTGTCTCTTGAAGAGTAGAGTGAAGATGGGTTATGTTGATGGGAGGATCAAGGGCCCAGGCATCACTGATCTTGGTTATGATCAATGGGAGATTACCAATTCTTTAATTATGGGTTGGCTTATTCATTCTATGGTACCCGATATTGGGGAAGGCTATTTGTCTATGGAAACCGATCAGGATATTTGGGATGCTATGGCTGTTACCTATTCTCGGAAGGGTAATTT